CTGATAAATGGATTTTTGATAATCAGATAGACAAAAAATGAAGATGAATATGCTTGAAGCAATAGAAGCACGAAATAATTCCAAACCTTCATTTCAAATAAATGTTTCTCTATTTCACTTAAGATTCCAGTTTATATTGTATATAAATATGGTAAGATAATCAACCATATAACATAGAGCAAATAAATGTTTGTCTCTATTTCCTATATGGAAGCACTTCATGAAACATAGAGAAATCAAGTATACGATGAATAATATTTTTTATTTTTTTTCAACAACACGATGAATAATATTTTGTTAAAATTTAGTTGTTACTTTTTTTCTTATCATTAGTATTAGAATTTTTTTTATGTTTCATATTCTCATATAGGAAAGGAAAACTTACCGAGTACGGACAAGTCAATAGTAATAGGAAGTAGTTCCGACCAATTGCCTTCATATGAAGGTTTGTAACGATTTTATGAAGGTTTGTAATGATTTTAAATTCATTATTTATTTTGAGGATAATTAATCTTGTTACATGTGTGTTTTACATAATATTTTTGTTCCTCCCAAATTAAATTTCTTTCATTTCCTTATGATGTGTGTATTGTTTGAGAATGATTTAGGCATAGCTTTTCGTTACGTCAATCACCAAATTCATCACCTTCACCACAATTCCTCCACATAAGACGCCATTGCTTGGGATAGAATCGGTCATTCCACGTCGAGGAAGACAACAACAACAACCATCAAAATCTTGACTTAGCCTCTAGTGGTGGGGGATCAGGACCCTCCGCTCAAAGGAGGCTAGGCATTGTTGGTCCGTCTAATAAGATGGATGTATTTTGGGTTATTCAAATATTTCAATTCTTTCAGATTTGTGTCTTTTGGTATATTATAGGGTCAGTCGGTCTAATTCTCGATAAAGTGATTTTATAGTTACTCTAAAGGGTCGTATTATTTTAGGGTTAAGTGTTTTATAGTTTTTTCATAAAATCATTTGAACTATCTTATTGTTATTTATATATTATGGGTTTGCGACTTTTGAGAAAACCGCTTTATGATAATTTATATGGGTTGCGTAAAAACCTCGTTTTATAGTTGTCAATACATCACCCCATATGGCTTCTCTAGAAAACTATTCTATGATTGTTTGAATTTTTTTTATCATCAAGCAGTTTATGACCATTTTATAGATATATGTATATCGAGAAATCCGCTTTATATTTATTATCAAGTCAGTGAGTCACGTCTGTTTTGGAAAACTCATTTTATGGTTCTTAATGCATATTAGAGTTCTGTTTTTTTCTTTCAATACAACCGTTGTTTTATGGTTATTAATATACTATAGGATTGCATCTTTTTTTCTTCTTCATTTTTTCTTTGTTATGTTACTTCTATTTCATGGGTTTTTTATGTTTTCTTTAAAATATATTACTAACCTTTTTGGTGTGTTTTTACCTGACTTCATATATAAATATGTTTAACTCTTTTAGTAATATAGTCTTCATAAGTCCGTTTTGGATTGCCTCGATTTGAGAATTGATAGTAATCATGCTTTAAAATCTATTAGAATGGTTAGATGTTCGCATGTGTCTCAAAAATAAATTGTATCTTTAGTTGCCTTCACCTAAAAACCATAAAAATAAAATCTAATCGAGATGTTCTTTTGCCCCCACGATTTCGCGGGGGTTCGATTCCTAGTATACAAAATGTCAAACAAAAATTTACCGGATTTCTTACGCATCATCTCTTTATGGTCTAGGTTGACAGTTGCAAAGTCAAGGAAGAAAGTTAAACCGATAAAGAATAACCAAATAATACTAACATTGGTGAAGCCTCCAAATCAAAAATGACACTAAGGAGGAATAATGACTGATGTAAGGATGAGAATTTTGATTTGCAATCTTTACCAAATCATTACTATTTTCAGCAAAATTCCCAATATTTCTTACCACTCTATTTAACATAGAGCAACAAACGGCTTTCAAAAAGAGATAAAGTAACATAAAAAAGGTACCATGAAATTTATTTTGATTTGTTGATAGGATGGACCTCTATATGTATTAGTTCATGTCGTGGCTTTAAGGGTTTCTATCTTCTTTTTGGTTTCATTTGTAAGAGATATGTTGCACTTCAAAAATATTTTAGTTGATCATTTTTTTTTCTATTTTAAAGGTTAAATATAAAATATTGGTAAATCCTATTCAATACCGAGAATGTTTGTTAGGAGACGAAACTTCTAAAAAGCGGATAATGTTTGTTAGGAGGCGAAAATTTTAAAAAGCAGAGATTTTAGAGAATTTGATGTTTAGTATGAGCAAGTATATAAGAAGTTTGAAAAATAAAACGAGAGGGAGAAGAACTTTTTCCATTTGCGTTCATGTTTTAAAATATTGAAACAATGTAGTGAGGCTCCGAAGAAGTAATTTACGATATAGATATTAGTTCCTATTGTTTATAACTATTTGTGTTGTTCGAATACCAATTCATTCGTTCCTAAGGAGACTTTGAAAGAGTTTAAATTCATGAATTAAAACATATCTAACCAAACTAAGGTCTCGAACGGTGATACCACTGGCGGATCTAGGAATGATTTTCATCGGGGGCAAAACATTTAACTCAACACTATATTAAAAAACCATAACGCAGATGTTTTTTTAACGAATTACATGGATTATCTTTTCTGAAACAAATGTTAAGTAACAAGTTATTTCAAGTTTGTGATAAAATATTTATTGCATCTTGTGACGGATTTCTGAAAATTTGACTAACGACAAAAGATAAATATTTTAAGACAATATAAAAAAGACACTAAATCATAACATACTATAAATTCAATAAAAATAATTTGTATTTAATTGGTTTAATTAGTAAGTTTTGTAGATAAATAAGCAAAAAAAAAATGTATATATGTTTTAAGATTTAGATATCTGATCCTACCAAAGGTCTGAATTTCTTTTCTTTCCTAATTTTAGTTTACTTATATACCTATCTTTTTACTAATTTTATTTTAGCAAGCATATATAATTGGAAAAAAGTAAATCTTTGTAGTTTATCTAACGAAAAATGAGAAACAATTAAGATCGGTGGAGGCAAAAAAAAAAATTATAAAAGGGGGCATGGAAATTGAACTTTAGTAATTATACCAATGAATATTATTTTATGGGGGGCAGCTGCCGCCTCTACCCTATATGTGCCTCCGCCCCTGAGTGATACTAATGTACAGAGAAAGAATAGTGACAAAAATACATATAAGTTAGACAGTGGCGGATCCAGAATTTTTTTATACCTAGGTCAAGAACAAATTATACCAAGATGTGTATAACGAGAGTTTCAAACCCGGGGTGAGGTGTGTTAACACCCAGTAGCTTACCGTTTCTGTCAACAAATCTTCCATGTTTCTTACTATGTATTAAATTTTATTTATAGGGTCCGCCACTGTGTATAGATTTGTATTAACGTTTGGTGGGAACGGAACAATGTATTCATTCAAAATTATTAGTTTTAGTGATAGCCGGCGGGTTAAATAAACTTGTAGGTACACAAAATATTATGTCGCTTGGGTCGGGCCGTAAATAAGTTAGGCCTAATGCTCTGGTTTATTAAAAACCCGACACCGGGAAAGAAAAACCTAGTTTTGGCACGGCACCCCATCTCAGCGTTGCTCAACCCTGTCGTTAATCTCCATATTGCTTTATCTCCCATCTTCGCTGCAAAGATGGTCAGTGTCGTTTCCCGCTTGAGGTTTTCTACTAATTGTTTGTATTAGGGTTTTGTTTTCGGATCGGTACTAACTAAAGTTTGAATCTGTTGACAGCCTCTGGGAATCGACTTCCGGGTAATAACTTGTCGATGTGGACTTGTTTTAATCTTTATTATTCGGGAACTGACACACTTACATGTTTGAATCAGTTGTCATTTGCTGCGCATATAAACACACCAGTCATATCTGTGGATTTTCATCCAACAGAACCATGGTAATTCGATTCTTAATTTTCTTGGGTTCTAAGAAATGTGTTAACCAATAATATATTGGTTCAGGGTCGTTAGTGGTTGTTGCGACGGAAGTTTGTACATCTGGGATTATAACAAAGGGGTAAGATTCTTAATTCTTGTCTATTATTTTGCTAACTCAAAAAAAATCACCATATAATTACATATATGACTGACTTTTGCAGATAGATATAAAATATACCAAGGGTGCTGCTTTTGTTCAAGGTATGTTCTCTTTGTTCTTGTCCCCTTGTTATATATACGTTACGTATGTTGATGAGTCTATGTCTTTGTTATGCAGTTTGGTCCGCTAAGTTTGTTGCTCGCAAGCAGTGGGTTGTAACTGGAACTGATGAAAGTTTCATTCGTGTCTACGACTACCACGACACCACCAAATTATTATTAATGGATGAAATCCGAGCATTTAAGGCTCATAGTGGTCCCATTAATTGTGTCGCTGTTCATCCCACCCTTCCCTATGTGTTATCAGCATCTGATGATAAGCTCATCAATCTCTGGAACTGGGAACAGGATTGGCTTTGCATGCAGACTTTCACAAGTCATACCTATTTTGTTATGTACGTCACTTTCAATCCCAAAGACACCAATACTTTTGCTACTGCATCACTTGACAAGACCGTAAAGGTGAGACTAAAACATTGGGGTTGTTTGTTCGCTCGCTTCATGTTCATCAATTCCAAGCTAAAACATTTTTTCTTTCTCTAGATATGGAACCTTGAAGATCCGAAGCCAATTTCGACTTTTGATGCACATCAGGGTTCAGGGGTGAACTGTCTAGACTTCTATCCTGGTGAGGAGGATAAACCATACCTCATCACTGGTTCCGATGATTATACTGCTAAGGTACGTACTGAGCTTTCTTTGCAAGTTGTTATAGATATATGTGTGTCTGTGTTTGCTTGTATAGTTCGTCCAGCTGTTCATAAATCTCTTCTGGAAGCAGGTGTGGAACTACCAAACAAGCAAGTGTGTTATGACACTTCAAGGTCATACGAACTCTGTTAGAGCAGTGTGTTTTCATCCAACCCTCCCAATAATTATCACGGGATCTAATGATAAAACTCTCCGCATATGGCATGCCACCACTTTCAGGTATTTGCATTGGAGCTACTATTGATTGATCAATTCTTCAAAATATTCTTGTAATTTGATTCATCCGCCAGTTTAACTCAGTATTTGACATCTAGGCTTGAGAATACAGTGGATCTTCGCATTCGTGTTCATGCTATTGGACACAGGAAAGGTTCATGTCGGTAAGTTTCTGAAACTTTTATATGGCAATACTTATGCCCTACTAAAGGTATACTTATTATCCTCGCATTTTGTGTGCAAATTTTTGTTTCCTACATAATTTACGAGATAGTAATACTATATCTTTTCAGGATTGTGTATGGTTGTGACCATGGACCCGGTATGGTGAAACTCATGCATGAATTGCCAGTGGCTAGTATGGGCAACCAGGGAAATGTTATTTTGGCTAAACACAATGATATACATAGTGGAATAATCAAGCTCATCAGCGGCAAAGATGGGGTATGGAGTTTAGAAAAGACTCACACTTTTTTTTTTTTTTTACATCTGGAAATTAGCTCATGTTGGGCAATGCTTATTGTTTGGTTGTGGGCTTACTGATGATCAGATACTGGATATCAACGGAAAGCTAGGAACCTGCAGTTTTTATCCTGAAGTAAGTGGCATGACCATTGTCACTCCCTTTAGATAATAGAGGAAACATGATTATGAGATCCATTGTCACTCCATGTTATTACACTTTGCTGAATTTAGTCGATATGTAGGTTTAGTTAACAGCTGCTTGTTTATTTTCTGGGCAGTTTGATAGATTAGTGGTCTTACTAGGAACTACTACCGTACGTAATCATCTATATAAAATGTAGTAACTACCCACTTTCACATATGTTGCTGCTATTTACGCTTTTTGTTTGCTTCACTTTCAGAGCTTGAAGCACAGCCCTGATGGTTGCTTTGTGGCTGTTTTGGGAAATTGTGAGTACATTATCTACGATGCCTGTACATGGGAAAAAATATTATCTGGCTCGGCGCTGGAATTTGTTTGGTCATCTGAGGGGGAATATGCTGTCAAGGTAAGCTCGTCACAGATCAAGATCTTCAGCAACAAGTTCCAGGTTTGGTTGTGATTCCTTTTCCCACTGTGTATGATTACTGTTATCTAAAATCTATACTGACACAGCCCAGTTGAATAATATGTGCAGGAGACTGGGGGGCTTGCTTTCTCAGCAGAGTACATTTTTGGTGGGACGTTATTGGGAATGTGCACAAATGATTCTGTATTCTTCTTTGCTTGGGCGAAATGTAGGTTCATTAGCAAAATAGACTTTCCCGTCAAAGTAAGTGGTTTTATGCAAGCTCTATGCGAAAGCAGATACTGCTGCTCTTTTCTGCTATGTTCACGTCTAATGTTTTTGTTTATTTGAAATGACTCAGAATCTTTACTGGGCTAACAGTGGTGATCGAGTTGCAATTGTCAGTGATTCATCGTTCAAGATCTTTAAGTTCGATGTGAGTTTTTTTTTTTAAGTTCGGTCGGTGGGGCTCATTTGTTTTCCTTGTACTCTGTCGTGGTCCTAAGCTGTTTTTTTTTCACTTTTCTGTTGTAGCGCGACTCTGTTTCCTCTTATTTGGATGGCGGTAAAACAATTGGGGAGAAAGGAATAGTGGGAGCATTTGAGATTCTCAATGAAACCAAGGAATGTGTTCGGTCTGGCTTATGGGTTATGGATTGTTTTATCTTTTACGCCGATTCTTGGAAGCTCAAATACTGTGTTGGTTGTGAGGTAAGAGACTCAAGGTTTTCTGTAAAAGAAAAAAACAGTGTTTTGAATTTGTTGTAAACGAGGTTCAGTCTCCTATTTACACCTCTTAACTTGCAAGGTAACCACAATGGATTGGCTGAGCGGTTCTTGGTCTGTGTTATGTTATCTCTCTGATCGAGTGTGTCTAATTGACAACAAGTTCAAGTAAGCTAATGTTTTTCAGTTATCATTGCTGACCAATGCTGTGGTAACTTTCTGATGTTTGTGTCAATTTTATTGTCTACAGAATCACTACTTACACTTTACCTCTAAGTTTGATTAAGTTCAAGACTTGCATAGTGCGCGGTGATCGGGAACAGGCTAGGAGCATCTTCCATACAATTCCCGAGGAACATCATAGCAGGTAAGAGAGAGTCTTTTCCCTTGTATACACTCATTCCAAATTTCCTGATATTCCAAAATCCTGCTGTTGTTGTCAGCCTGGCATGCTTCCTGATCGCTCAATGAGTAGCTACTGCTCCTGATTACAGATTTGAGTCGCTTGAAGTCAGTGTGTAAGTTTTGAGAAGCTCTGATTTCCATTACGTAAACCAATATTTATGTTTGTGTCATTCAATTCATCATCTTCTGACAGGACATAGCTGTAGAAGAAGCACTAAGGAGGTCGGAGTGGATGCAACTTGGCTATGAACTACCCTTTTTATTTGCAACTAGTGTTCTACCGTGTGTGAAAAGAATGAATGATGAAGTTAATATTATGAATTTCTTTTTAGTAAACTATGTTTTGGATCTGCCTCTATTATCTCTCTATGCAACCACTAATATTTTTATACATATTGTTTAAATACAAAAATGAGACTATGTGGTGATTGATACGGCGATTTTCGATCTTCACTTTTCGCTCCATGAGAGTTCGTATCCGGTCATAGATTCCAGTTACTATAGGCCTCTTTGTTCTGGCTTTCGTCCGCTATAATGCTGTTTCCTACTCTACGGTCCCACTCTTTTCGCTTACAAAAATGGAAACCGCCATGGCCAATTCAAGTATAAATGGTTTTCTCCTTCCTCAACCTCTCTTATCACTACTCTTTTTACTCGATCTTGTTAAATTTAGCAATGAGTGATAACTTGAGAAACCATATGCAAAATATATATCG